GAAGAAGCTTTTTAGTTTGAGACCATCCCATTTATTAATTCTTGATTTTGTTGCTTGTGCTTTAGGAGTCTTGTTAAGGAAGTCAGGGCCTAATCCAATATGATGAAGATTTGGGTTTACTTTTTCCTCTGTTAGGTGCAGGATCTCTGGACTAATTCCTAGGTCCTTGATACACTTTGAGTTGAATTCTGTGCATAGGGACAGATAGGGGTTTATTTTCATTTTGCTGCTTATGGATTTCCAGTTCTCCCAGCACCATTTGTTGAAGAGGCTATATTTTCTCCATTATATGTTTTTGGCACCTTTGTCTAGTATATTTATGTGGGTTTATCTCTGTGTCTTCTATTCTGTACCACTGGTCTACATGTCCATTTTGGTGACAATACCATGTCCTTTTGTAGTATAGTTTAAGGTCTGGTATTATTATGCCTCCTGCTTCACTCTTCTTGCTAAGAATCAGTTGAAATCTTAATTGACCTTCCTCTAAATATGATCTGCTAGTTTTCCCTCATGGCTTTTAAAATTCTATTCTTATTCTGTGTATCAGGCATTTTCATTACACTGTGTCTTTTACATCTTGCCTATTTGCACCTTGTATTTTAGATTTCTACTTCATTACTAAGATTTGGAAAATTTTCTGATATTATGTCATTGAAAAGATTGTGCATTCCTTTAGTTTGGATTTTGGTGCCTTTGTTGACACCAGTGATTCTTAGATTTGGTCTCTTAATGTTACCCCAATTTTTTAAAACTTTTGGACATGCATGGTCTCTTAACATCTTTCCTTTATTGTCAGCTTTCTTTTAAAGACTATATACTTTGTCTTCAAGGTCTAAGAATTCTTATTCTTTGTGATCTAATCTATTGATGATAATTTCAACTGTTTTAAAAATTTCATTTATTGAGTCATTTCCAGGATTTTTGTTTGGTTCTTTTTCAGAATCCCTCTTTATTGAAATGATCTTTCWCTTCCTGTATTTTCTCTCTAAGTTTATTCCTTACATCTTCTTTTAGCTCATTGAACCAGGAACTCTCTAAATTTTTTCTCCAACATTTCCTCCACTATTATGTCAATGGATCAGGTGTTCAAGTGTTGTGGGCTTTTGCAGGTAGTTTTTTTATATTTTTTTTTGTATGTCTACCCATCTGCTGGGATGATTATTCTTCTAGTCTAATGCCAGGTCAATTTAGTGAGCTTCTTTCTTTTCAGTTCCCCAGGTTGGGTGAATATGCAGGTATCGATACTCCCATCAGTGTGTACCCTCTGCTATTCCCAGAATCAGTGCCACTTGGAGAGAAGATACTAAGCTCTATTAACCAATCACTCAGAGCAAAGTCATGTACTAAAAAACCTTAGGGAGAAAACTGGTTGAAAATGTATTCCACAGTTCCCCTAGTCTGGATATAAAATTGCAGTACTGCTTGAAATAGTTATTAAAGATCATAAAGTTATTATTATACAGGGGCTGAAAATGGGAGGAGAGAAAAATTGAGCAAGTAAAAAAAGAAAAAGAGGGCTGGGGTTGTGGCTCAGAGGTAGAGCACTCGTCTAGCATTCATGAGGCACTAGGTTCGATCCTCAGCACCACATCAAAATAAAATAGAGATATTGTCTCCACCTATAACTAAAAAATATTTTTTAAAAAGAAAAACAAAAGAATAATACAAACCAAGGCAAGAAGAAAAAATGAGGGGATTTAAGGCAGGAGTAGGTAATGCAAGAAGAAAAGAGAGACTAAGAGGGGCAGGTATAAACCTGAGCTAGGAAAACAAAGATAAAGAGAGTGACTCTGGTTAATGCTTTAAAACAACAGGAGAAATAGAATCTAATGGGTTGAGGGTTGTAAGGAAGGTCCAAGATGGCTATAGTTAGGATCCCTCACTGAGACTTCTGGTGAGCTATATTTTTAGTATGTCATCAAGGTCATAAACTGATTCAGCATATGTACTCAAAGTCATAAACATCTGTTTGTGAGCATGGGCTCACTGTGTGACCTGTTGGCACTGTGCCTTCTTTGGTTGGCCTGCATATAAAAAAGACTTATGGAGAGACTTGGGGGTAAGAGGAAGCGCTGCTGCCACCTCCAAATAAAGTAGGTCTCTTATCACAACTGCACCTGGCTTCTTCTTTCAAGTGCCAGAACCCCAAAACTTCTTTCTAGGGCCTGAGACTCAGCCAAGCCAGGGTGCAATATTGAATAATAAAGGAACATTTGCTGATGCAAAATGAAAAGTAATATATGTAAAATTAAAATTGACATTAGAGTCGGGCACAGTGGTGCATGCCTGTAATCCCAGCTACTAGGGAGACCGAGGCAGGAGGGTCACAAGTTCAAAGACAACCTCAGCCACTTGCTTCTTAGTTGCCCTAAGCAACTCAGCAAGACTCTGTCTCTAAATAAAAAACATAAAAAGGGTTGAGGATGTGGCTCAGTGGCTTAGTGCCATTGGGTTCAATCCCTGGTATAAAAAAAAATGAAGAGCTATTTATAACAATCCAAGGTGGAGAAATTTCTTATGGAGACTTCCTGATTCGGATTTCATTAGGACCGGGACCTTTAGAAGCTGTCCACCAGCCTTCAGCTCTACCTCGGTTTCCCTGGGTGTGGAGGTGGTGATCACCCCTGCTCACCTCCAACATGATCAGGAGGCTGTCTCTGATCTTCACTGTGTCTGGGTGCCTATTAGCTTTCTGCTGGGTCAGAGGAGATGGTCTCTGATTGTCTGTGACTTAGCAGCCTGGCTATTCCCTGTTAGGGGTAGAGTCTCGTGCACCCTCCTGAAGAAAAGCTCCGCGTTTTCAGTTCTGTCAAACCCAGTGCGGGCTCTCTGTGTACATTTTGGGGAGTGCGTGGTGCGGCGGTCTAAGGCAGAGGCCTTGCAGTCTGTTTGATGTGGTGTGTGGTAGCCGAGGGGAGGAGAGCACAGGGTCGTTGCCCTCTGGCGTGCACAGGTCTGAGGTCAGGGCCTTGTATCTGGACACACTGGTTGGTGGCTGGCGTCTGTGGCATGCTCCTCTGTAAGCCCCTTTGTGGAGTGTACTGCCGTTGTGTATGTGTGGATTTCTCCACAGGCGGCTTGGGGTTATCCTCAGGAAGTGCCTTCTGTGGGCCAGTAGGTCTGAACGAGAATTGAGTCGACTGATCACTCTGGGACTCACAGCTATGGATCCTCGTGGAAGTACAGGGCGCAGGAGCTACTTCCAGGTTGCTCTGGAGTTTTCACCCGTCAGTTTGTCGGCCCAGGGCCTGAACCTGCATGCCTGGAGGCTGCTGTGCTGCATCTGCTGGCTGTTTCTGTTGAGTGTGGGGCACAGACAAAAAGCAGTGCGGCCTAATGGTTAGTGGCACACAGTACGAAGCCAGGCCCCCTGACTCCACCAGCAGTGTGACTTTGGGTGAGTCATCTAAATTTCTTTCAGCCTGATTCCCATTCATAAAGTGGGGGAGCGCTTACTATACCTAAAGGACTCAATCAAGGCCTGTGACGTGCAGGCAAAGGTGGCGGTGGCCAGCAGCCTGCTCTAGGCTGCCCAGGCACACAGTACGTCATCAACTGCAGTCATGGGGCATCTTTATCCTGTCTCCATGACTAGGGCTGTGGATCTAGCTGGACTGTCCTCTGGCCTTGACACAGATGGACCTGCCAACAGGTGAAGTCTTTCCCTTGGGTGGTGTAGGCGACTCTGGAGAGGGCACACACTACCAAACTGTGGGCTCTAGGAGCAGACAGCCACTGAGTGGGGGTACAAAGGGAGGTTTGGGGGTCTCTCTAACATCCTACCAGTGTCAGGAGATCATCTCTTTCCCACATTCCTTCCCAGAAGCTCAATCCCTGAAGCCCCCCGCCACCCGAGACCACCCTGCAGGGCAATCCTGGGCAGGACACAGAGAGGGCCAGGAGGGGAGCCCCAGACCTGAGTGCAGGAGGAGGGGACAGGTGGCGATTCAAGTGTCTCAAGGTGTTTCTCTTCCGGGGCCACCATAGGGTCTGAGCTTCCACCATGTATAAATGTCCCAATTAATAAAAGGGCATTGTTCTCAATTAATGGAGGTGAATCAGCCTGGCAGAGGGATTGGGCTTCAGGGTCTGGGTTCTTAGATACTGAGGAGAGGTTAGCAGGAAACCTTGGCCATTGGATGCAGCTGAGCATCCGGCACAAACCAGACACCCTTTGTGTGGAATATGCACACATTAGCCATGCTTTAAAGACTGAGCCCAGGAGGGCTAGCACTACCCACAATCAGAGGCAGGACGAGGCAGGACAGGGTCTTCACCCAGGGTCTCCTGGCTCTGCCCTCCCTGGCCTGGGCCCCATTACCTGAGGTCCCCTCTTAGCCCTTCTCTTCTCTCACCTTCCTGCTCCAAATGAGCCCAGCCCCAGGTGAGCTCTTTCAGCTGGCTTCCTTATCCCTGGAATCGGATCCAGGTAATGCCCGGCAGGGCTGGATTCTTTGTTGCTGCTCCTAGACGTCATGTCTCACTCCAGGCCTTGGGCTGGCTGGAAGCAGGACTTGAACTCTTGCCAGGCTATGCAGCTGGTCAGCCACAGGTCTCCGTCTCTGAGCCTCCTCATTTTTCACTGAGCAAAGGTGTGTGATGTTCCCGCAGTCCATGCTTGGAGAGGAGGTCTGGAGACCTTCTGGGGGGAGGCCTGGCCTGGCCCTGCTCTCCTGAACTCATAAATCCATCCTTCTCCCTACTGCACCCTGGCTTTGAAAGAGCAGAGGGGGCTGTAAACTTTATCACTCAGGCACCTTTTCTCACCCCCGCAACATGTTTTCTACCCCAGGTAGGAGATGCCAAGTCCTAAGGACGTAGTGCCCGTGCCCGTGCCTGTGACCACGGAAGGGTTCCCCTTTGCACCCAGTTGGCTCCACCCCCACTCTTGGCTGCCTGCCCAGACAGGCCTGCTGGGATTGGCTGGTCTAGGCCAGCCCAGCTCAGCCTCCCGCAGATTCCTCCAGGTCATCAACCAGGGACAGAGAAGTCCCAGAGGAGAGAAGAGCCTGTTGGGGACAAGCTGCTCCTGACAGAAGGTGCCAGACTAGATTTGGTGGGACTGGAGGCTCTTTACCTGAGATGGGAAGGATGTTGCCCAGGGCTGGGGCAGCTCCAGGGAGCCAGCCAGCCTGGGAAACTGGTGATTTCCGGGTAACAGTCCCCGGAAACTTGTCTATGACTCAGGAAGGTCTGGACTCCAATCAGTCTCTCTTCATTGTTCTCCTCCCATCTCCAATTTCTCCTCTTCCTCCTCCATCTTCGTCTCTGCTCTCCCTGATGCTTTGCGTGGGTTGCCCTCGGTCTTGCTCCCCTCTCTGAGCCCTCCCTGTCCTTTTCACAACACTGTCCCTGTCCAGTGACCCTCCGCAGCTCACCCTCTGTCCCATCTTCCCTGCAGAATGCCACAGCTGGGCCTGTCCTGGCTGGGACTGGGGCCCATGGAAGCCTCTCCCTGGGTCCTCCTGCTGCTGGTGGGGGCCTCCTGGCTCCTGGCCCGCAGCCTGACCTGGATCTATGCCTTTTATGAAAACTCTCGTCGCCTCCAATGTTTCCCGCAGCCCCCCAAACGGAATTGGCTCTTGGGTCACGTGGGCATGGTGAGTGTGGCAGCAGGCTGAGTTGGGCTGTTGGGGTGTAGGGGCTGCTGAGGGGTCAGGAATGGGGCTCGGAGAGCTGGGTCGGGTGGGCTAAGGTCTTGGACAGCAGAGGACAAGGAAGGCAGGTGCTCTGGGGTGTGCTCATCCCGGGATGGGCCGAGCCCCTCTTAACCTCCTTGTTCCCGTGGCCTCGTCTGCTTTGGGATTCATTTCTGGCCTGTCTTTGCCACGTGGGTGCATCCCTGAGGGGCTCCCGGGGTGGGCTACGTGGAGTGAGGACCCCCTGGTGGTCCTGTATTCTCTGCTGCTGGACTTGAGTCCTCCACAGGGGTGCTGACCAGGGTCTGCTCCTATCTGAACCATTTCTTTGTGTCTGCCCATCTATGGGCTTCGGGATGTTCACGGAAATGAGCAATCGCTTCCCGTGGACTAGCTCAGCCAGGAGATCAGTCTGGGTTGCCTCCCCCTTCTCCCTCCTGGGGCGCCTTCCTCTTATCTCTCTTCTCCCCTAAGATGAACCCGTGGGCCCTGTTGCCCAACCCAGATTGAAGTTGGCCGCCACTTCCCTTTTCAGAAGCCTTCCTCGACCCCACCCTTTACTCTAAACCTTGACCTTAGATCTGCCCTCCACTTTAGGGAGCTGTGCTCTGGCTGCTTCCCTGGTAAAGGGCACAGGTTTAGTGAGAGCAGGCACAGGACGGTCTGCCAGCATGTGGGTGGCAGCAGGTGCTCCTGGGTGGGAGAGTCCTGATGGAGAGATGGAGGTCACCTGACTTCTCTGTCTGCCCTGGGATGCACCGTTGGGACTCTGATAGGGTCTTGAGAGGGATGGGACAGGAGTGGCAGAGATTCCCTCCCTCCATCCTTACAAAATGGGGACATGTGTTCACTGCATAAGGCAAACCACCTGCAGAGGCCGTAGGAAGCCCCTATTGTGGCTTTTGGGATGGTTTATTAGTCAGGGTTCTCCAGAGAAAGAGAACGAAGGGACACACACACATACACAAAGTCCTTCATCACTTAATCATGGGAACCCTACTGAGTAATTCGTCACCAGGCGATTTTGTCCTCTGCCTACACCAGGGGGTGGCCTCACACATACCTAGCCAGTGTAGCCGTGCACACACCTCGGTGACGTGGTGTTGCCTGTTGTTCCTAGGTTTATGCCTGGGCAGCCTGTTACCTTTCTGAAAGCTGTAGGCAAGTGGAGCACAATATTAAGTATTTATGTATCTAAAAGTATTCAAACACAGAAAAAAATCAGTCAAAGTGCTGGGTCATAGCCATTCTTCAAATTCTTCAGCTACACTGTAATTTTTTTTTTTTTTGTACCAAGGATTGAACCCAGGGGTGCTTAACCACTGAGCCATATCTCCAGCCCCTTTTTTATATTTTATTTAGAGACAGGGTCTTGCTCAGTTGCTTAGGGCCTCACTAAGTTCCTGAAGCTGAACTTGAACTCAAGATTCTCCTAATCCAGCCTCCTGAGTCACTGGGATCACAGGTGTAAACTACCACACCCAACAGCTACACTGCAATCTTAAGGGACTCCTATACACATGATTGTACTACACATACAGACATGCATATATATATGTACACACACATATAGAGACATTATGCAAACATAAATAAATACATATATCTGTGTACATATGTATGTAAGATATGTGTATGTACATATGCGTGTGTGGTGTATATACAGACATATATATATATATATATATATATATATAGAGAGAGAGAGAGAGAGAGAGAGAGAGAGAGAGAGAGAGAGAAAAGAGGGAATTATTAGGGGAACTGGTTCATATATTATGGAGTCCAAGAAGTCTCACTATACACCATCAATGCTGGAGAACCAGGGAATCTTGTGGTGTCATTAGTTCAGTCTGAGCCTAAGGGCATCAAAACTTGGGTGGAGATTGCTGGTATTAAGTTCTGAGTCCAAAGGTTTGAGAACTGAAGTTCTGATGTCCAGGGGCAGGAAAGAGTTCTCAGCTCCAAAGAGAGATTGGACCTGTCCTTTGTCTGCCTGCACGTCCTCTCTGGACCCTCAGTGGACCCACACTGGGGAGGATGCGTCTTCAGTCTACCAACGCAGACACCACTCTCTCCTGGAAATGACCCAACAGACACACCCAGAAATCATGTTTCAGGGGACATCTGACAAGCTGACACTTGACATCAACCACGTCAGGAGGTGACCACCCCTGCCTTGTTTTCAGATCCAACCCACAGAGGAGGGCTTGAAGGAAGTGTCGAAGCTGGTGGGCACCTATCCTCAGGGCTTTATGACATGGCTGGGCCCCATCATTCCCATCGTCACTCTGTGCCACCCCAACATCGTCCGATCTGTCCTCAGTGCCTCAGGTACCCATGCAGAGCTCTTGGTGGTGGGTGCTATGTCACATCTGAGTGCCCTCCACCTACAGGCTTCCGTGGGCCCCTGCCTCGCCCCAGCCCCCTCTTCCCTCTTCCTCTCCGCCTCTTCCTCTCTCTTTCATGGGCTCCACAGACCCCATCTCACTGTCTTTTTCTTCCACTGTGGCCACCCCTCCAGCCTAGTGTTCTCAGTGCCTCCAGAGTCCCCAGAGGCCTTAATCCAGGGCTCTTTCCTGGAGGGATCCCCTAGTTCAAGGAAATGGATCTGGACCAATAACCCCAACATTGTGTATGGGCTGGAGGGAGACAGATTGTGGCAGCTGGTGGACAGCAGGGTCTCTGCCAGGGCAGCTGGAGCCCTCCTGGAGGAGGAGCTACCAGAGCAGGGCAGGGGATGCGCCCAAGCCCCTCTGCCACTCCTGGCCCCAGCCTTGCCCTTCTGCAGACCCAGAGCCACGAGGAGGGCTTGTGGCTGGAGGAGGAGCGTGGCTGCTATTTCCACGATACCCAACTCTGGTGGGTGGATTCCTTCTTGTGGCTTGTCCCCTGCATTTTCCCTGCTCCAGGCCCTAGGAGTCTTTCTTAGGAGACCCCACCCCAGCCTAGTTCATTCCCCCTGCCCCCTGCCCTTCCCATCCTTGGCCAGACCAAGTTGAGCAGGGGAAAGAGCAATAGCTCTGATACCAAAGTGCTTGGTGATCGGGGCAGGTCCCTGACTCTCTGGCTGCTGAAGTCTCTTTCAGTTGTGGATGGTAGAGACTCACTACGGTGTGCTCTAAGTCAGAGAGGGAATCTGTTTAGTGTAAAGTCCAGGGAGGCTGATCTTCAGGCACAGTTAGATCCAGCTCTCAAATAATGTCCAGAGAGATCTGTCTGCTCTCTTGGCACCACTTTCCGTTCAAGGCAGGGCTTGAATGAAGAGCCCCCAAAGTTCACTTCCATGAAAGAGCTCTTCATTCCCCCAGCATTCCCATCAATGACTTCAATTGTCCTGGCCTGAAACGGAGGGCAGATTTCCCATTTAATCACTGCAATTCTGATTGCCTAGTCTTGGCAGGCATGGGACCCCCAGTGTGATTGTTTGGGGGAACACAAAGCCGGTTAGCGGTTAAGCACTCAGGATATGGATTCAGACTCTGGTCACAGGCCTCAATGCCTGTCTGGGAAACTGAATGGAAGATGACCCAGGTGTGTTTGGGATGCAAGAGGGGAAGGAGTATTTCTGTGACTGTAGCTGAGGGATCCAGACTGTTGTGTGCAGAGGATGCGGGCAGAGAGCCCAGGCAGGGCTCAGCATGGAGGATGATGACCCGCTGAGTGGAATTCCCTGCACTCCCTGTCCTGGTCTAGTGCTGTAGGTCCTTCTCTGGTAGCCCAGGGGAGTGTGCATCCGGTTCTGTTTGTTCTCCAGATCCAGGGCTCAGAAGAAGGTCTGCTGTACACGCAGGGTCTGGCAAGCACCTTTGGGGACGTGTGCTGCTGGTGGGTGGGGCCCTGGAACCCAGTGGTCCGAATCTTCCACCCCACCTGCATCAAGCCGGTGCTCTTTGCTCCAGGTAGACACTGGCATGACCCCAGCTGGCCTGCTGCCAAGGTCTCTGTGCTGCCTCAAGCTGTTCGGGGACCCTAGTGCAAGCTGGAGGGGCTGCGGCAGCGATGCTCCTGCCTCTGTCTCACCTGGACCCCCACCCGTCTGACCTCTGGTCATGTCTGCTCATGTCTGGAGCATGTCTATGTGACATCTGCTGAATGGTCACAACTTGCCAATGTACATTTACTCCCGGATCCTGGTTACAGCTGGCTAGTGTATGCCTGGTTACACCTGGATCCTTGGTGATGGTCCTGCCTGGGGCTCTGTTGTGGCCAAGGACATTTGGGGCATGTCAGAGTCCGTGTGGTTTTGTCTGTGTTTCTGTTGTGGATTATCTTTTTCTTTTTGCTGGCCTCATCTAGGCCATGTGTGTGGTTTGTCTGGAGTCTGGGTCCCAGAGTCCCTCCGAGAAGAGACTGAGACCTAATTTGAGTGTTGTCTAAAGCAGGTCTTATTATCCAGGTCAGGTCTGAGACTCAGTTGGGTCACATCTGGGCCATATCTGGGATATGAATAGGACCGTATTTCAATCCTGTCTGCAGTCTGTCTGTGGGGCACAGATGTCACGTTAGACCTTCTCTGGTTCATGTCAGAGGATGTTGTATCATGTCTTGGCAGGTCACGTATATTTTGCCCATGTCAGGACATAACAAGTGTCCCTGTCACATGTCTCGGGTCTATGTCAGGAGATGTCAAATGGTGCTGGGTGGACAGGGTTTCCTATAAGCTCTGTGGAGTGTTGTGCTATGCTAGAATGTTGTAGAACATGTTGGAGCTTGTGGGACTCGCGCCCAGGTATGCTGGTCTGTCTTGTGCTGTGTGTAGCTATTTCATGGCTCTGCTGCTGCAGCCTGGCCTGGTCCCCTCTAGCCTCCTCCCTCTTCCCTATTTCCTCTCCCCTGGAATCCTTCCTGCTATGCTGGTCTTCGAGGGGGGAAGTGTGCAAGCCCTGCCTGGGAGCCTCCACCTGCTCCCACAGCCCACCCGTTACCCCTCTCCATGGCCCTAATTGTACTTGTTCATGTCAGCTGCGGTTGCACTGAAGGATGTGATCTTCTACAGCTTCCTGAAGCCCTGGCTGGGTAAGTAACTGCAGGTGACAGGGCTTAGGGGAACCCTGGGTGCCAGGGTGAGGTGGTTCCCTTGCCCACTGTCCATGGCTGCCCTACCAGGGGATGGGCTCTTGCTGAGTTCTGGTGACAAATGGAACCACCATCGTCGCCTGCTGACACCTGCCTTCCATTTCAACATCCTGAAGCCCTATATGAAGATTTTCAATGACAGTACGAATGTCATGCATGTGAGTCTCTTGAACCTAGTGTCCAAAGTTGAACCTGGGTGGGAGAAGGGTCACAGACAGAGCCGGTCTACAGATCTGGCTCTGATGAACCACTTTGAGACCATTGGTCTTTCTCTCTGTGCCTCGGTTTCCACATTAGTAAAATGGGAATAAAAATCTGTACTTAAAAGTTGTCCTAAATAATATAGTGGAGTTATGTCCCTGGTGCATGGTAGGTGCTCAGAAGGGGTTAGTTTCCAAGCTTCTCTCACAGAAGGTCTGCAAAGCCACAGTGCTGAAGAATTTGTTGTTGTGTAACAAGTCATTTCTGAACCCATTGGTTGAAAATCAATGAGGTTTAGAGTTGCTAACAAGGGTATAAGTCAGTAGGCTGGTTCTTTTGGATGCGGATGGAATCACTCAAGGTGTATGATCAGCTGAGGGTCAGGTAGGCAACTCTGATGGCCCTGGGAAGATTCCCTCGCATGTTTGGGGGTTGACTGATGTAGAATGTCCTCATCTCAGACAACTGTACTCTTCTGCGTGATTCTGTTCCTTCAGAAGATAATCTGGGGATCCAAAGCAGAGATAGGGTTCCATGGGTGTGAGAGAAGGCTGCAGTGTCTCTTGAAGTATAGGCTTCATTGAGCTTATGACCTCATTTTAGTCACATTGTATTGGCCAAAGTCAGAATTCTATCACATAATCAGATGGGGTAAAATAGATTCTCCTTCTTTTCTTGCTGAAAAATCCCACTGCAAAAGATGTGGACTTGGGAAATAGGGTAATGTTGGAGGTGAGGTTTCTGTGAAGTGCTTAGGATTTTTCTTACTTGTAAGTTAATAAGTTAGCTTGTTATCAGTTCTTGGATTCTTCCAGAAGACATGAGATTCCTGGATCAGTGGCAAAGGGTAGTTGATTACTCATGACTCACCAAGCAACCTGTGCTTCTTGTTGCTTTAATCTTTGCTGCAAGCCACCGAATCCCATGGTGGTGACAAAGCTGGCTTCCTTAGATGCCTGCTCATTGGTATATCCCATTACACTAGATTTAGGGAATCTGCTTTAATAGCAAACAGAAACTAGCCTGAATCTCACCCAGAGGAGTCATTCCATCTTCCTTTGGGGTTATTTTCTACTAACTTACCTTTGAGAAATGGTCCAGCCTAGGAACCTTGCATTCAGGACCTATACATGACTCCTTTTCCCAATATAAGAGATTTTTTAAAAATATTTTTAAAATCAATATATCTCTATGAAGACAAGGAAAGCTAACCCTGAAGACTTGATGTATACCAGAAATTATACCATTTGCCAATTGCTTAATACATATTGTCCAATTTATTTTCCACAACCATGAATAGCACAGATTATTTTGCTCATGACAAATAATCATTCTGAGTGTGAGAGAAATTAGGGAGTTTGCTCAGGATCACCTAGCTAGTAAGTGAGCATGAATGGTGAAGCAGGGTTTTTAATCTCCGATAATCAGCCTTTGAAGCAGATCAGGTTAACTGTTGCTGAAGATTTGACATGTGGAACTTAGGAGAAGCAAACAAGTGATTAAAGGTGCACAGAGGCAGAGCTGGGACGTGGACTGATTGCCAGCCTTGGGCATTCATTTCTCAATAGGAACAGCTTCTGTTCCTACTGAACATGATCCTCCCTGGGTTTGGGTGCCTTAGACAGAAGACCATGAGGCTGGCTCTGGGGAGTCCATCCTGGTAGGAGTAGTTGGGCAGGGGCTCTGGGAGCCAAGGCCAAGCCCCAGCCCTGTTCTTTTTTCTGGCCAGGCCAAGTGGCGGCGACTGGTCTCAGAGGGCAGCGCCCGTCTGGACATGTTTGAGCACATCAGCCTCATGACCTTGGACAGTCTGCAGAAATGCGTCTTCAGCTTCGACAGCAATTGTCAGGAGTGAGTCCTTTCCTAAGGTCTTGGAACCTAGGCCAGGGACTCAAGTGAGTCCGTGGGGGAGGGAAGGCTATGTGTAGGGGCCAGAGGAGGCTTCCAGGAGGCTGTGGGTCAGACCTGGCACTGAAGGACAGGGAAGGGGAGAGAGAAATTAGTTCCTCCAAGTAAGTGGAATTGTTTGAGTAAAGGTAAGGGGGCTCAGATGAGCAGAGTGTGTACAACAGGCAAGAAGGAGACTCCGTGGATGAGGATCAAGTGGCAGGAGTGGGTTGATCTTAAGGAGATTGAAAGTCAGGCAAAGGGGTGTGAATTTTATCAGGAGTTTTTCAGGGAACCAATGAAGATGTTTGAGCTGAGGATGGGCATGATCAGAGCTGAACTCTGTGGGACTTCTCATGCAGACAGTACCTGGAGTTGACACTGGATGCAAGGAAGCTAGGGCAGGGGCTGCTTCTAGGACCAGTTAGAAGAGAACTATGTGGGAGCTGTGGACAGTATCAGGCAGGAAAGAGGAAAGGACTGGACACTAAACAAAGGAGAGGAGCTTGATGTCCAGACTGTGCTCTGGGTTGCTTGGGGCATGGAGGTGGGTCACAGAGATGGGATGCAGAGAGAGAAGAGACAAAGGAAAGTCAACCTGATGGCCTATATCCACTGTGCATCTGAGAGGCCATGTGTTTCTGGATCCTCACTTTCCTGATGGGAGGTAGCTCCCAGCCGCTGGTGAGAAGTCCTCCTTGGGCATCAGATGTGTTGAGCTGTTGCCTCCTTTTTATGTCCTCATCCTGCAGGAAGCCCAGTGAATATATTGCTGCCATCTTGGAGCTCAGTGCCCTCGTGGTCAAAAGGCACGAGCAACTCCTCTTGCACATGGACTTCCTGTACCTTCTCAGCCCCAGTGGGCAGCGCTTCCGTAAGGCCTGCCGCCTGGTGCATGACTTCACAGATGCTGTCATCCAGGAGCGGCGCCGCACCCTCCCTGATCACGGTATTAGTGACTTCCTCAAGGCCAAGGCTGAGTCCAAAACTTTGGACTTCATTGATGTGCTCCTGCTGACCAAGGTGAGCTTCTCAACAGGAGGACACTAAGAAGCCTTAGGAGGTATCTGAGAAGGGAGGAGCAAGCCAGAGCTAAATAGATCTTAGAGATAACTCTTGGATGCAGCCAGCAGGGGACTCCATAGTCTGAAACTGTGAAGGGCCTGATAATTTAATCTGTTTGCAAGTTAAGAAGTTTGTATATTACATTTATATCTGTGTCTATATCTATGTTGACAAATGCACCAAGCACTTTGATCAATTCCATAAGTGACTAAGTGACATACAAAATCCAGTTATTACAATAATGGCAACCTGAGTAGGATTATAGCAATGGTTCCCAATTCCCAGCTCTTCCTTCCCCAGGTGATGCAAGATTTTAATCTGTTTTGAAGCTTCAAATCTTGAGTTTTGAAGCTTATATAGGACAGATGGCACATTTGCTCTTCTGGCAGTGGGGAGAGGGAGGGGACAAACTTTGTTCTGGAGAATAAACAAGTTATCTTCAGTGGAAAGGTAAAGTCTATTGGCCTGAGAACCAAATCCCTCTGGGGACATAAGGTAAGATTCTCACTTGAGAGTATGAGCAAATGTATTTGGAATAATGCTTAATGTCCAAGGTAAATTGCCATTTAATAATCCTCTAACCCAAGTTCCAGTAAGTAACCTTTTCTCAGAAATTCCTCATTATACAGAAATTATACAGAATATGAAAATATTCATGGATCATTTATTCCTCCTGCTAGGGACAAACTAGGAGGCAAGGAACCCCAGCAGGATGACTGTGGGGTGGGGATTCAGGTGTTGGTGACCAACAGAGGTCTAGGGGTGCATGTGGCTTGGGTTTCTGGATGGAAGACAGATCTTTTTTTTAAGCATTTTAGTTGTAGTCAAACACAATACCTTTATTTTATTTATTTATTTTCATGTGGTGCTGAGGCTTGAACCCAGCGCCTACACGTGTGCTAGGCTAGCACTCTACCGCTGAGCCCCTGAAAGTCAGATCTGTTGAAATTGCGTCAGTCACACTGAAGATCTTGCAGACCTGGTGTGATTTGGGGTGTGGGATGTCCTGTCTTCTCTCCAGGATGAAGATGGAAAAGAGTTGTCGGATGAGGATATCAGAGCAGAAGCTGACACCTTCATGTTTGAGGGTGAGGGCCCCAGTGCAGGACTACAGAGGGGGTGGAGGGTCTCTCCACCCCAGCGATGGGCTGGGTGGACCCTGGATCACTGCATTCTGTCCATTCTCCTCTTTCCTATCCTTCCTGGGACCTCAATGCTTGGGCGCTGTCCACCCTCTGGTGCTGAAGCAGCCCAGAGGCCCAAGGCTACCTGACTGCCCCTCAGGCCATGACACCACGGCCAGTGGTCTCTCCTGGACCCTGTACAACCTGGCAAAGCACCCGGAATACCAGGAGCGCTGCCGGAAGGAGGTGCAAGACCTGCTGAGGGACCGTGATCCTAAAGAAATTGAGTGGTGAGTGAGTCCTCAAGGCCTGCCCTGAGCCCCTCTCATGGGCCCTGCTCCCCAGGTGGGGAAGGGTAAGATGCTTGTGATTCATTATTGCTTTGTGGGAATAGGACCCAATTCAGAGGCAGGGCCTAGTACCCAACCTGACTAGCAAGGGTGCATTTGCAGGATTTGGGGACAAATGATCTGAACTTATGGGAGATTCCGTGACACTGTGACAATCTGTGAGGGTAGAACAGGACTGTCAGCCATGGTCAGGAAATGGACTTCCCCTGCACTTCCTCTATTTTCTTTCAAATAGCACTTTTTTTAAGGATCTTCACCTCCTAAAAGTTTGTTCTTCTCTTGTACCTAATTCTTAACTTCCTGTCCAATCCAAGGATTCATAGGAGATACCTGGAAGTAAAAGTCATCTATTGTACCCAGAGCACCTGCATCCTTCATGGGTGCAGCCTTCATTCAGAAAACAGGCCCACACTGTCTCCCCATCCCCCATTCTGTGCTCAGCCCTGCTCTGTGCTCTAGAGACCTGAGAAGGAAACAGTCCCGGGATCTCCTTCCACGAGCTCTCAGATTGGTGGGCCAATGATCCCTGGTGCAAGCATACAAGGGTAGGAATGGGGTTGAGAGGAAGAGAAACAAGGCTAGAGGTAAAATAATGGTTTCAACTGAGCCCCCGAATGATCAGCAGAAGAATTTTCTTTTTCATCTGAGGAAGAGTGCTCTAGGTCAAGAAGCGAGTCTTTACCAAAATGGGTGGTGCAGAGGGAGGAGGAGGAAAACAGAAGGGGGAGGGGAGAAGAGAGGTGAAGGTTTGTGTGTGAAGAGGAAAGGCTCAGATGGAAAAGGAAGAAGGTGGAAAGGAAGAGAGAGAAAGAGAGTACAGAGAAAGAGAGAAAGGGGGACTGAGAGACAGAGGGAGATGAAGAAGAGCTGTAGTGGGTACAGTGAGCTGGGTTTGCTAGTGCACACCTGTAATCCCAGCTACGGGGGAGGCTGAGGTGGAGGATCAAGATTTGGGGTCCAGACCTTGTCTTGAAACAAAAAAACAATAATAATAATAATAAAACAAAATCGATACCCCTCCCCGCACACAATTATATGTGTGTGTTTTGTTTTTTACTTGTTTGTATTTTTATTCTTCTCTATAGTATGAAGAACACTTATTTTCATGCAAATTATTGACTTCTTTAAAGTGTTTTTTTTTTTTTTTTGGATCCTGTGTTTGAAGAAAAACTTCTAAAGATACCTAGTTACAGCTTCTCCAGTCCTTTCCTAATTGCTTTTCCAATTCTCAAATACTTGATCCATCTGGGGCTTATTTTATGAGAAGGAGAAAAGGCTTCACCCAGAGGCCGGCAAACTCTGTTTTGCTCTCTGGATAATTTGGGGGTGGTGGTGGTTTTTAGGGACGACCTGGCCCAGTTGCCCTTCCTGACCATGTGCATCAAGGAGAGTCTGCGGTTGCACCCCCCAGTCACAATCATCTCCCGCTGCTGCACCCAGGACGTTGTGCTCCCCGACGGCCGGGTCATCCCCAAAGGTACCCACAAGGCAGGGGGCGGAGGCTCCTGGGCAGGAAAAGGGCTCCATCAGGCAGTTGGACCTTGTCCCTTCTCTCCCACAGGAGTCACCTGCGTCATCAGTATTTTCGGGACTCATCACAACCCAGCTGTGTGGCCGAACCCAGAGGTGCTGCCTGCCTTTCCCTCTTCCCATTCTTGCCCACTGCAGGGGTGGAGTGGCGTTTTGACCCCACCACACGCACCCCTGTCTCTCCCTGGGTGTGCTGGCAGACCCCACCCAGCAACTGTGTCTTGGTGGACCTCCCCTCTAGGTCTATGACCCCTTCCGCTTTGACCCAGAAAACGCCAAGGACAGGTCACCTCTAGCTTTTATTCCTTTCTCCGCGGGACCTAGGTAAGGAAAGCGGGAGTCTGAGACGGGGGTGGGGTGATGGCATTGGGACTTTGGGGATGGTAGTGCAGAAAGGGGGGAAGTTGCGGATGGTCAGTTGCTGGTGTCTTTCCTGTCGCTCTTGTAGTTTGTGTGTCGAGGTTAGGAGAGTGGCTGTTGGGTGTGTCCCCAAAGAGGTCGGTCCAAAATGGGGTCCACCGTGTGCTCAGAGCCTTCCCACCCCAGCTTCTAGGCTGAGTTGTGGGGGGGTGGGGTGGGACAGGCTCTGGGGACAGGGACACCCACAGCGGTCCAGGCACGTCAGCCCCCCTCGCTGCCCTTCAGGCTGTTCAGGGTCGGAAGGGGGTCCCTGGCGCAGTAAAAGTCCCCACCCCGCCCGCAGGAACTGCATCGGGCAGACGTTCGCCATGAACGAGATGAAGGTGGTGCTGGCGCTGACGCTGCTGCGCTTCCGCGTCCTGCCCGACGACACCGAGCCGCGCAGGAAGCCCGAGCTGATCCTGCGCGCCGAGGGCGGGCTCTGGCTGCGCGTGGAGCCGCTGAGCGCCGGCGCGTAGTGACCCACGGAGGCGGGTCCGGGGACCCCTCCGTGCAGATCCCCCAAGCTACCTGCGCAGATACCTGCAATAAAACGGTTTCACCTGCGTTTGAGTCTCACCGAGCGTCAGCAGGGGGCGCGGGGGACTTCGGGGCAACCAAAGTGGTGGCCTAGGTGCGGGAGGCGAGGCCCGACCCTCGCTGGCTCTGGCTGGCCTCACAGCCCCTGAGCACATGGTGGGAGTCTTGGGAGGTGTTGGAGCAGAAGGTGGACCTAGAGTAAGGGCAGCGTTAAGCCTCTGAGTCACAAACGCTCAGAATAGTAAATATTTACCATCCTTACCTCTGTTCGCATCTCCTAATGTAGCCTGCATTTTCTCATCATGGGATTTTTTCACTGTTGCAGTGGCTACTAAATGACTAGGTTTATTAAAAATAGCAAACTCAGTTGTGTTTTCTTTGCTCCTGCTCCTTCCCACCATCTTCTGCTTTTCTTACTTTTAGAGACAGAATCTATGCAGAGCAATGTCTAACTCCTGGGCTCCAGTGCAAATCTTGCTTCATCCTCTGGATAGCCGGGCACCAGGCATGGGCCCGAGCTCCCAGCTCAGCATGACTAAGCACGGTTGTTTTATATTGTGTCTGATCATTGGAGTCGCTGTATTTTTATTGCCTGTTATTTTTGCTGATTTTTCAAAAACTTTTTATTGGGGCACTTTTTATTGGCTGGTTATCTTTACCTTGATAGTGGCTGTCGTGTTTGAATAATTGCACAATGTGAAGAAAGCGGCGTTCTGTAGATTATGTGAAAGGAAGATCAAAGCTTGTGGTATCCAAGGTCATTAGGGCAGTTTAATTCACTCTGCAATCACACGTGAGGTCGCCTTCATTTCAGTTTACTCCCTGCCTAGAGACGTCCCCTGAGGTCCCACTTCTGTGAAGAGGATCTTGGAGATTTCAACCCCTCTTGTTTCACTTCTGGGTTTTGATTCTTTTCATCTCCTCATGAGCTTCCCATTTTCCTGACTTGAGAACAAAAGTCTACTTCATGTTCATTTCATTTATAACTTTCTGCTTTCATCAGAATAATGCCTGCTTTTTTTCCCCCTTGCTGGAAATGGAACCCTGGGTCTCATGCATGTTAGGAAAGCCATTTCGTGTGAACTAAACCCCAGCTAGTTTTGCGATTCCTTTCTGTCTTTTCACATCATTTATTTACCTATGGAATTGGAAAAGCATCCAGCTTTAAAAGTTGTTTTAAAGCAGTGGGGAACTTAATCCAAACTTGGTCTGCAATTAATGGAAGCAGCTAGCTTACAGTGAGATTTTAAATTGGCATGATCTTGTGATTATCCAATTTTGGGATATATTGGGATGATCATTTGCTGTGACCTGCATGGCCAAACTCTAGAAACCAGCAAGGGGCCATGGGGTATTAATAAAGACACACAAACATTAAGAGAGAAAGCTGGGATCAGGTGAGACACTGACCTCTAGTTGAGAACAGTGACCCAGAGCTGGCTCAACATGTTTATTATATGGGTTTTTATCATCAAAAGATTATCTGTGGGAAAGTTCTGCAAAAGAGAGCAAAGTGGAGAGGACAGATGAACTTTGTGTTTGTAGCCTTTGGAGATTTTATGATTGTGTTCCTGTGTTTAGGAAGGTGAGTGTACAGTGGATATTTTGGTAGTGTCTGGGGTGGACCCGTCAGGGACTGTGGATTGTTTGTCCTGATATACATCTTTGCCCTCTTAGAATCATCAATGTTTTGCTAAGATGCATGGCATTCTGGAATATATAGATTATATTTGAACCACTTTCTTGAAGCTGGTTTGATTAAATGACTTTGTCCTGTCACATGTGGAAAAGTCAAAGGTTTTGTGATAATTCTGATAGCTTTCGCTAACAGAAAACTAGGACAGTCTGTCCCCGTCTTCCACCTTCATCCTTTCTGCTGCTTGCAATATCGATGATGTAACTGGAGCCCCATCTCAGACCATGAGGACAAGGTCTACTTTCAGGAACAAGGGATAGATAGCTAGAGTCAATCTGGGCAGATGACCCTGAGTCCATGCTTGGGTCTGATTGTTTGTGATCTGTACTCCCCCCACCCCAGATTCATAAGTTGAAGTCCAGTATTGTGGCATGAAGAGGGAGGAATTTTGGAAGGTGATTATGTCATTATCCTTTATGAATGGGTATAGTTCCCTCTTTTGAATGAGCTCAGTGGGAGATTTCTTTACCTTTCCAACATGCAAGGAAACACACAGAAGTTCCATCTATGATGAGCAGGCCTTCTCCAAACACCAAAACTGTTAGCACCTTGTTCTTTCCAGCCTCCAGAACTGTGACTAGACATTTTTACTGTTTATGAATTCTCCAGCCTAAGATATTTATTTTGCTATGGCATCCCAGATGGACTAAGATAATCCCTTTCCTCTTGGGGTTGTCCTATCAAGATCAGAATCCTAGTCTGCTACTTACTAGCTGTTTGGCTTGGAGGAAATCATTTATCTCACTAAGGCTTCCTTCCTTTACTACTTAATCGTACCCCCTTTTGTTCTCTTTTGAAGATTTACAAGTCTGCATGTACAATATAACTGAGCCAATATCTTCTAAGCATTTGCAGTACATCGAGTCCAATTTTTTTCCTTTCTTTATTTTTGCATCATGACTTTAAAGCTTAAATGTTTTAAAGTCATAAAAGAAGTATGTTTACATTTCTATATTTATTTCTTTATGGTACTTGGGATAGAACCCAAGACTTTGCACATGCTAGGGAAGTGCTCTTCCCCTGAGGTAACTTCCTAACCCCAAAGAGATGTTTGAGTTTTGGAAATCATGGCAACCTGATGTTGGAGGAAACCACTGGAACATTCAGTAGTTTCTAAATATCCACAATTATGTCTGAGAAACTTTGATCTGGTCTGCTACTGGCTCCAATGAGAACTTAAAATTTGAAGATGCACAACCAGAAATCCCTTCTCCCTTAAATGTTGCAGGTAGTGGAAGTTGCAGGGGTTTTGAATACAGTGGGAAGACAAAGGAGTGAGGTTATGGGTGGAATGGTGGGGGCTGAGGGTGGGGGTAAGGGGGTGTCCACTTCAGCACCACGGACAGTAGCTTCCCCAGCCCTGGCTCCTCTCTGCCTGTAGGTGTCTCCCGCTAAACACAGGAGGCCACTGACTGGGAGGATGGGAGAGGACTACTGGCTGTAAAATTAGAGAGGAACATCGATGGCAAAGTGAGACCAAAATAAATAAATAAATAAATAAATAAATAAATAAATAAATGCAGTATTAAAGGAAAGTCACCTTTATTTTTCTCTTTATTTATCTTGCAAGTTCTTTTCTTATTACAAAATGATATGTATCCATAGAAGAAAGTGTAAAAAATAAAATTCTACAATACCAACATATCTCAATAATCACTGGTAATATGCTGTCATCCATAATCCCAATTTTAAATTATAAGAAATGTTTTACATGTGAAAATTAATCTTTATGTCTAAAGGTATTACATTTACATGTAAGCTTCTGTTAAAGATGCTCTGTTACTGGCCATGAAGCCCATGAAAAGGTCCTCCACATCATTAGTCATTAGGGAGATGCTAATGGAAACCCTAAAATGCCACTTTACTCCCCACAAGGATGGCTAGAATCTAAGACGGGGAAAGTAACAAGCGCTGATGAGGATGTGGGGAAATTGGAACCCTCCTACATTCCCGACAGAAATGCAAAACGGTGCAGCTTCTGTGGAGAATGGTTTGGAGGTTCATCAAGTGGGAAACAGAATTACCACATGACCCAGCAATCCTATTTCTAGGTTTAAACTGGGCACAATTTAAAACATGTGTAGGAACAGGTACTTGTGCATAAATTTTCATAGCTGCCCCCTTCACAATCTCAAAAGGTGAAAACAACACAAATACCCATTAGCCAATGAATGAGCAGAGAAGTGTGGTGTATCTATGCAATGGAATAATACTCTCAGCCACAAAGAGGAATGAAGTATGACATATGTTACAACATGGACGAATCTTGAACACATTATACTGTGTTCAAGTCAGACACCAATGTCACATGTGACTTGATTTGCTTATTTGAAATATTTGGAAGAGGCCAATCTAAAGGGAAAGAAAGCTGATGAGCGGTTGCTGAGGCTGGTGCAGAGATGGGAATGAGACGTGACTGCTAACGGGTCAGGTTTTCCTCCTGGGATGATGAAAATATACTGGAACTAGATGGTGATGAAGTTTGCATGACATTGTGTGTGTGCCGGTGTCATTGAATTCTGCACTTGAAAATGGCTAAAGTGGTGAATTTACAGACAAAAAGTTTCATAGAGTGGTTAATGGCACATAACACAAACCCAGGCCCTCTGCCCCCACCAGCCACATGAATTTGGGCAAGTCACTTAAATATTCTTCAGCCTTATTCCCCATTCATAAAGTGGAGGGGGGACTTAATATACCTAAAGGACTTAATCAAGGTCAGTGACTGTGTAAGCAAATGCGGTGCCAACCAGCATACCTGCTCTACGCTGCCCAATGTTCCTAGGCACATAGTAGGTCTTCAGTGAGCTCAGTAACTGCAGACAATGGGGTGTCTTTCTCCTGTCTCCAAAACTACGGCTGGTTGATCCTGCTCTGGACTGTCCCCTGATCATGACATGGATGGACCTGCCAGCAGGTGAAGTCTTCCCCTTGGGTGGTATAGGAGATTCAGGGGAGGGCACACACCACTGTCCTGTCCCATGACTCTAGCTAGGACCAGCCACATGAGTCTCCTAGCTATTGAGTGGAGGTGGTAGTCGTGGTGCAGAGGGAAATTCGGTATCTTCTTAGCATCCTACCAGTGTCAGGAGACCGTCTCTCTCTTGCTCTACTATGAGCCGAAATCCTGAAGTTCTCACCTGCGACAACCACAGAAGGAAATTATGGCCAGGATCCTGAGAGGACCAGACACATGGTCTCTTGGGTGGTTTCTCCTAGCTGCAGGAGGCGACCCAGATGGTGATTAAAGGGCCTCAAGATGGAGCCACCACATGGCTGGAGATCTCACCGGTTACAAATTT